TCGGAACTGCTTGTCTGAGCGTCCCCGCTCCTGGGGCGGGGAGTTGGCTCCTCACCCGGGCTCTTCTCTTTCAGCGGCCTCATCCCCCGGCTCCTCGGGGACATCCTTTCGCTCTGGCTCTGCAACATGCTGGCTTACCTCATCAACACGTACGCGCTGGAGAACGGGGTACGGGTTCCGTGCCCCGCTCAGGGGGCTGGGGGCGGTGCAATGGCGTCCTTGGCACTGAGCTGAGAGCAGGGAGGGATGTGTAGGGGGGGTCAGGGGACGGTCCTGGGGGACAGGGATGGCAGCTTTGGGGTGGCAGCATGGCTCCAGAGGGGGTCCAAGGTGCCTTTTCTCCTCCCCCAGGTCTCAACCATGGCTGAGATGAAGAGTTACTCGCAGGCAGTCACTGGAGTGAGTACAGCCCGCGTGTGTACGCCCGCGTTGTGCGATGCTGTCTCCGTGCGGGGAGGGTGAAGAGAGTTGAATCCTCCTTCCCCCGGGGAGGTGGTGTGTTCCTGTGATCCCGCCCAGGCTGGGGAGCGGAGCCGGGTACTGCTCCCAGCTCCGGAGGGATCAGCCCGCAGGGGAAGGGACGCTCCGTGGAGGTGGTGTGTGACCCTGCACGCCCACGGGCTCGCGCCCACGGGGTTGTCTCTGCATAGCTTGGCCCTGCATGGAGCCTGTGGGAGAGGGCTCTGTCCTGGGGGTCTTTTGGATTTTGTCCTCCCCCCGCGTGGAGAGAAGCGGGGGGATCCCTGCGGGGCTCCTGTGCCGCTGCCGAGCAGCCCTGCTCTTCCCTTGCAGTTCTTCGCCAGCATGCTGACCTACCCCTTCGTGCTGGTCTCCAACCTGATGGCCGTCAATAACTGTGGGTGAGTCTGCCGCCGCCTCCTGCCCCCCCACGAGGGCGAGCCCGTGCCTGGAGGGGCTGCGTGGCTGTGCTGGCCGCCTCCCTCCGTGCTGGATCAGCTCCTGAAACCGTCTTTCCGAAGCTCCCAGTTGGCAAAGAGGTTTCCAACTCACTGGGGGGTTGATCCCTTGGTGGTGGTGGGGACGTGTGGGGTGGGAGCTCGGCCTTGAAAGGGCCGTTTCGGGGTTCAGCCCGGCGTGGGGCTGCAGAGGAGATGGCTCCTACCCCTCTGGGTTGGTCCTGGGTGGAAATAATTCCCTCCCTTCCCCAGGCTGGCAGGGGGCCTCCTCCCCTACGCGCCCACCTATTCCTCCTGGCTGGACTGCTGGAGCCAGCTGCACAGGGAGGTGAGTGGCCGGAGCCGGGTGGGAGCCCTGTGGGGCCTGGGGGGGCCGCACCGGGGCTCGGGGCAGCCCTGACTCACCAGCGGTGGCCGTCTCCTCCTTCCCGGGAAACATGAGCCGAGGGAACAGCCTGTTTTTCCGCAAGGTGCCCACAGGGAAGCGATACGTGTGGGAGGAGAGGAGGTTTCGCTGAAGCTGGAAGCGAGAGTGGAGTCAGGAAGCCAACGTTGGGCTCTGGAGGCAGAGAATTATGAGAGTGGTGATTTCTATACAGTTTTTTAAAATCATTTAATGCTGAGAGACGAAGGTGGACGTGTGAGAGTGTCTGTCGTGGGGCTAGGGGCTTCCCGGGGGGAGCTGGCCCATCTCCGGTGTTCCCTCCCCAATCCAACCACGGAATACCGTCCCTGTATTCCCTTTTCATCAGCCCGGTGCCCGTGCAGACGCCTGTTGGCGCAGTCGCCTGGGCTGAGCACCAGGTGGGTCCCGTGAGATGTTGTCACGTCTGTCCCATCCCCACAGGCACCGGCCCCTCGTCTTTAGCCGCAAAGCCGGGGTGTGGGTGAGGTTGCCCAGTAAACCCGCCGGCAGAAATCCTTCCCGCGGTTACGCCTCTGGAGCCTTTTCCCGGCCTTGGGCCCAGTTAAGGCTGTTTCGACAGAGGAAATTCCCCCGGGAGCTAACGGTGCCCGGAACAATCGCCCCCTTACAAATAACCGCTTGTTTTAAAGACTGGCTGTACAAATGTCCCAGGCGCTTGGGGAGCGACAGCCCCAACTACCCCAGGGGCTGCCCCCAGCCCGGGTGGGATTAGAGGCCGATCGTTAGTGGCTGGGGATAATTGTGGGGCAGGGCCCTGGGAGGAGAGCGCTGCCCCGAGGCCTCGCGTGCCTCAGTTTCCCCTTCCTTGGGGCTGTTAGCGGTGGGGGCAGAGATCAGATCCATCCCACCGGCGTCGTTCCCCAGGTGCAGCACCCATGGGGGTGTCGCAGCACCCCCAGGCACGAGGGGAGGGGTGGCAGGGGGTGTCGCACACCCCGTCAGAGGGTTGTACACCCGGCAGG